ATTACATAAAAGCATCTTGCTTTATTCACTTAGGATATTCCGAAGATCCTTTTATATCAGTACTTTTAGGCTGGGCGTGGTGGCTCATGCCTGTAATTCTAGCACTCTGGGAGGCTGAGGTAGGAGGATCACTTGCGCTCAGGAATTCGAGACCAGCCTGAGCAGGAGTGAGACCCAATCTCTATTAAAAGTAGAAAAAATTAGCCAGGTGTGGAGGTGAGCACCTGTAGTTCCAGCTATTCAGGAGGCTGAGGCAGGAGGATCACTTGAGCCAGGAGTTTGAGGTTGCAGTGAGGTAGGCTGATGCCATGGCACTCTAGCCTGGGCAACAGAGCAAGACTCTGTCTCAAAAAATTAAATAAATAATCAATACTTTTTAATACTTTTTGTAATGGCAGAGTAAATTTCAGTAGTAGTTTATTTAACTCATTCCCAACAGATGGGCACTTGAGCTGTTTCTGATCTATTACTGTTAGAAGCAATGCTGAACGACTAGCTTCATTCACATGCCTCTTGGAATACAGTGCACATATTGTTTTAGTACAAATTCCTAGAAGTGGGAAAGTAGGATTTCTGGGTCAAAGAATAATTGCATTTGTCATTGTGATAGATTTCTGCCCGCTTGGTCTCCATGGTACTTTTACCATTTTGTATTCCCACTAGCTATTTCCCCCCAAGTTCACCAGCAAAGTATATTGCCAGACTTTTGGATTTTTTGACATTCTGCTAGGCGAAAATGGTATTTCAGGGTTGTTTTTATTTGCCTTTTTCAAAATTGAGTGAGATTGAGCATCTTACGTTTGAGGTCCTTTCGTATTTCTTTTCTTATGATGCCTGTTAATGTCCTTTGCCCCCATTTTCTTTTGGGTTTTTGGTCTTTTTCTCTTTGATTTCTAGGAGTTTTTTATTAGTAAGATTAGTCTTTTGTGCTATGAGTTTCAAATATTTGTTTCCCAGTTTGTCACTTACTGTACGACTTTGGCTCTGTGTGTGCATGGTTTTTTTCAATCATGCAGAAGGTTTTTTTTTTTTTTTTTTTTTTTTACCATTACGTAGTCAAATTTAATCCATTTTTCTTTTATGGCTTCTGCATTAGCAGCATTCTTCAGAGGCGGTGCTAATAAGCTATTATAGAATATGCGCATGTACAGTAAACATACTAAATCAAATGCCCATTTTCACCACCATTGTGGTTTATCTTAGCACTGTGCTCTGTTCATGTGTTGGGACAAGCTGGGTTTCTCTGCAGCTGAGACTGTAGATGCTTCCCACTCAGGCTGCCACTGGGGTGACCCACCCCCAACCATACCTCCTGGGCCTCTCTTCCTTTCTCTTTTGTCCTTCTAGCCCATCTAAAGGCTTTTCTCCACTGTCTAAGTGAGGCTCCCATCTCAAAGTGTAGGGAGAAATGAATCCACTTTAGACCATGCTTCTAGAGCAATGGCCTGCCAGAGTCAGACCCCTGACTGGGGCCTCAGACCTGACCCCTGGACTTACCATGCACATACAGGTCATATTTCTTTCTCTTCTGTACGATACCCAAAGCTCATCTTCTGGCTTCTTGATGAGTGCAGCCTTCTCTCCTGCTATTCCCCAGGACGCTAACATTTATAAGGGGCTCTGGGGACTTGCCCACCCTGAGGTGAGCTATGGCAAGTAAACTGATGTATAAATGTGTTGTGGCAGCACTTTGTATCGTATTGTTCAATACTGTTCAGTCCACCAGTTATACTTATTTTTTCCATATGATTGAATAATTTTTCTCAAAAGTGAAACTATTATAAAAAGGAATAGATGTTGTTATGCTACCCACTAAGAAACTGAAGGCTAAATTTCTAACCCTGACATACTATATAGCCTTTACAAACCCTATGGCAGCTTTTTTTTGGTGGTCTGTTTGTGCCATCATCCAGTTGGATCAGTGTGGGAGGCAGAGAGAATCATCTGGTCACTCATATTAAAGGACGTTTTATGTGGGAAGGTCCCTCCTCACATTCATTTTCATGCATCCTCCTTTAAAGATTGTACTTCAGTATTTATTTTGTTTAACAGGACTTAATCTGTATTGGGACCATAAAACATCTTATAAGATTGTTTTGTTTCATTTTGGTTTGTGAACAAAAATAAATACAGTTGCGTCAAATTTTAGGAGAGTTTCAAAGCCAAGAAAAAGTATTGAGTTTTGGAATATAAATGGAGTTTCAGAAACCCAGAAACTTTTCTTAAAATAGTACACATATAAAGTTAACATTACTTTTAAATCATAGAATTACAACTTTTAAAATTTTGTTACTTTTACAGAAAAGGACACTATGGATGTATGGTGCAATGGTAAAAAAATGGAGACAGCAGTAAGTTGACCTTTTGATTACTCTCAGTGCCATGTATATAAGTTACCATTGAAATGCTGCATTTCCTAATTATAGAGATTTTATAATTAACCAAGGTCTGCTTCATAAAAACAAAAAATAGATTAAGTACTCCTGACTCCAAATTCCGAAAACCTTTCCCAGACAGTGCGTAGAGCAGTGAGAGTTTGGAGACAGCGTATGTTCTGAGCCGGCACCAACCTCACACTGTACCTTTCCTCTCCTGGACCAGGCTCTATCCTAGAAAGAGTCTCCACATTAAAAAATTCTTCCCCCAGCTGGGCGCCTGTAGTCCTGGCTGCTCAGGCAACTGAGGACAGAGGATTGCTTGAGCTCAGGAGTTCAAGACTAGCCTGGGCAATGTCACAAGATCCCTTCTCTTGAGGAAAGGAAAAAATTCTTCCCCCAAAGGATGTCGTTCTCACTGGTTATCCAACTTAAGTGGTGCTTTATATACCACTGCTTCTCAAACTTGGCATGCATGGAAATCGCCTTGGATATTGTTAAAATGCAAATTCTAACATTTCCCTAAGTGCTGCCAATGCTGCTGGTCCACAGATCACACTTTGAGTAGGAATGCTTTATTCCATACACCCAAAGCAGACAACACTTTCTTTTCTTTTCTTTTTTTTTTCGAGACAAAGTCTTGCTCTGTCATCCCCGGTAGAGTGCCGTGATGTTACCAGAGCTCACTGCAACCTCAAACTCCTGGGCTCAAGCAATCCTTCTGCCTCAGCCTCCCGAGTAGCTGGGACTACAGGCATGCGCCACCATGCCCGGCTAATTTTTTCTATATAGTTTTAAGTGGCCAGATAAATTCCTTACAATTTTAAGAAAAAAAGGGGTCTCGCTCTTGCTCAGGCTGGTCTCGAACTCCTGAGCTCAAACAATGCACCTGCCTTGGCCTCCCAGAGTGCTAGGATTACAGGCGTGAGCCACCGCGCCCAGCCATTAGTTCTCTTTTAAATGCCCAGGGACCTATCTACTTGTGAATTCTCTCAGGCCTTTTAAAATCTGTTTTTCTCCTTCTACTCCTTGTCTGCCTTTACTCCTCTATTTGCAATCCCTCCTGAGCCTGGAAGGGAGCCAGAGTTCAGCCCAAACTTGTCCCTTTTGCTACTTGTCTGGAGGGAACAAGGCCAGAGTCACTCACTGAGGTAAAGGTAGAATTGCCTTGGGTATTCATACTGCTTGGTTTTCTACTTCCAAGATCCATCAAACCTCAGACTATTCTCATATAAGGCCTACATTTTACAAGTTAGTTATGAAGAATGCAGCCTCCAGGATCAGAGCTATGTGATGGGCAAATTACTTAACCTCTGAGCCTTGGTTTCCTTATCTGCAAAATGGGGATAGTAATAGTATCTTCCTCATAGTATTATAGTATGGGTGATGTTTAATTGAGTTAGTACATATAAAATGTTAATACTTAGCAGTGTTTCTCACATAGTGAATTCTTTAAAAATGTTATTTGTGGTAGTTACTTTACTCATAGGCAAAGAATGAGCTTATGTAGGGTCTTGTGATAAAAGTCTCTTATATATATATTATGTGGCAAGTTTCAAATAACATTATACAGCTTTGTGAATTTTATATTCAGAATTTAGAACAAAATCAGAAAAAGCTTTTAATAACAAAAACATGATTTACTGAGGCCATATTATGTGCCAGATACTACGCTAGGCACTTTGCATAAATTGTTCCTAACCCTTATAACAGCATGTAAGAAAAGACTATAATCTTCATTTACCTATGAGGAAATTAAGGCTCAGAATGGTGGTGACTTGCCAGAGGGGACTGCTAGCAAATAGTGAAGCTCGCTGCTGACATGCTTTTTCACCACCCAAAAAACGTGAGGCATATGAGGGGACTGAAACTAGAGTTGATTAACATTCTGAGGTATGATAGTCACCACACCACTGCACACTGTGGGAGGAAAATAAAGACAGCAGGAGGAAAGATAATATGATGAACTTCATGTTGGGAGGAAGTTCTCTTTCTGTTCTGAAAACTTTCACTTCTATGAAGGCATGTATAGAACGTACCTGCTCAGAACTCACCTGCGGAGTTCCCAGCTACTGGTCATGTGGGCTGAGGGAATCTGCGGGCAGGGAGAGGGGATAGATGCTCCAGGATGAACATGCTGCAGGACCTCCCACGAGTCATTGAATCCACTTCTGAGTCGCAATAGATTTGACATTTTATCAGATAGATATGTTCTATAATTAACATATCTTTTTCTGAACAGGTGATATATGATTCAGAAACCAAAATGGTAAAAAAAAGATACATTGAAAAATCTTGTTTCTACCCCTGTTCCCCTCCACCCTGTTTCCCCCCAGGGAAACCATTTTTAATAAAAGATAACCATTTTTAATAGTGTGTCCAAGTCTTTTTTAAATTCAGATTCAAGCAAATACAAAT